CTTGGTTGTTCAGCTCGTATTCGCATGTCACCACAAAATGCTTCACATACTGCAATTTAAGTCTTAAAGCAGATGGATCCCAATTTATTCTTTACGTACATGTATCTGTTATGAGACTCACATTCTTTCACCGTTTAGTACTGACCATTCTCATAAATTACATATATACTAGGCAGCTCTATTTCTGTTTGTTTTCACATGATAGTTTTGTAGGGACTAAGCCTTTAGTTCTCCTTCCAGTGATACTTACAGTGAAAAAACAAAGGCTATATTTCCAAAGAATTAGAAATAGGTGGTCTAGGAGACTTTAAATAGAAGTACTGTCAGCATAAAATTGTGCATCTTCAGAAAGAAACAGATTGAGATTAATTATAATTCCATACATAGCATGCAATAGAAAACAGTTGCCTGAGCTTCTCCCTCCCTGCAAGAACATGGCTTCAACAGCTATCAGTCACCTTTGTTGTTTCACATACATCCAAAATAAATGGATAAACCATTTCTATTTGACTCCTTGAAATACAGCAGGAAGTAGTTTCCTTTTTTATTGGCTACCTGCTCAAGCTACCAGTAGAAATGTCTGCATTGGAGGTTTATGCTCTGTGTTAAAGAAACAAAAGAGTATAGACATCTGCAAAAGATCAAGGACACTTACCTTCTGCTTTCCCCCAAAAGTGAGGCAGCCACCTCTAAATTGCATAGTATGGATATAAGCTGCAGCATAACATGCATGCTTCTCATTTTGTAGCTGAATAGACAAGAACTGCCATGACTGAATTTGTAATTTCTTTATTTGTCCCTTTTGTTATTTATTACCAAGAGAACAAACAAAAAGCAGTGCTTACTGAAGAATGTCAGTTACTGGCCAAAACTGACTTACGGTAAGTGCTCTAAAGTCCACTTTTCAGAAAATTCCACTTTTTCCTGCGTGGAGACTGGGAAATAGTGTAAAGTAGTTTCAAAATTAAAAACAAACCATTTTTATTTACTAGTACCTTTTAAAGATGGGAAAGACATTTTCTATTTAATTAGAGAACAGTTAACTGCCTAGTAAAAAGCTATCATAGCAGTGACTCATGTAAGGAACAAATAGTTTCTAAAGCAGAGCTGTTTACAAGAACAAGTTCAGCATCTAACATCTTTGGAATCCTCATTTGGAGTATTGAAGGAATAAAGTCCCAAGATTCCTTTTTCTTCCTCCCCCAGCCAATATAAAAGAACAACACACAATTTTTTGTTGTTTGGAAGGCGCCTAAAACTCTTCCGGCTTTTACTCTGTCACCAAAACCCAAACCACAAGCTAGCTCTTAGAAGGGCATTCCTATTCAGTAGTTTGCTGTAATCCAGATTTAAGGTATTATGTGTTAGACACAGTCACAGGACAGAAGTTACTCGTAAATAACCTGCTGTTTAGCAGTGAAGAATTAAGTATCTGGATGCAAGCTTAAAATAATCTAATATAAGGATATTCCAAACTACCATGGATAAGTAAAAAAAAAACAAAACTTACTTTTAATATTTTTCTCCTCCTCCCTTTTTGTGGCAGGGAGGGGGGAAGGGTGTGGAATAGGACCAGCAATTTTTTTCCCTATTCAACCCTTAATCTCTAGGAATCCTCTAGTTCGTTTAGAGGAACTTAAATCTGATGCATCCTCAGTCTAGCTTGGTACACCCAGTTGCATTAAACTCATTTCTTAAGCAAGAATGCAAGACACAAACACTTGTGATATTGTATTGTTTCATCATACCTGCTTCAAATGATGCTATATACAACACTACAGTTCATGATTCTTTAAGACAGAGACTAAATCAGAGTAAACAGCTATTTAAACTAAGCTAGCAGATCAGCAAGCATCTTTGGCAAACTTGTAACTTGTCCTGCTAATTAGCTCTTCGTGATCATCCCCATAGCTATTTCAAAACTCCAGCATAGTAGGCCTGTTAATTTTAGCTTGACCAGCATATGGTCATTTAGATGCTTAACTCAAATGCTGGTAAACATATTCTATTCCTTCATTCAAGCACCAAGACAGTAAATTTTTTTTTTTTTTTTTTTAGTTCCAATGGTATCTCTGGGTACTAAATTACATGTTGCTGCACAGCCAAAAAAAAGTCCAAAAAATCCCCAGTGATTCTCTATGAAGCACCATAAGACCTATATTTCAAGCTGGATACCAACTACCTTTCAATGAGTTGTTTTCAATCCCTTAACCATACCAATCAAATGATATTAAAAGTAAGCAAGAACCCACTCTATTTATTCAGTGATATATCAGGCTGACAGTTACAGGTCTGTCTCCAGTACTAAAGGCTAGTCTGAAGCAGTAACTTTCTAATGGATTTATTTTTTTTAGCCATTTGCATTACAGGAGTTGTAAGATTTGTTCTGAACATGAGCTAAGTGTTCTAATTTAGTTTTCCCAGCATCAGTTTAGACCTCCTGCAAAGCAGGAATAGACAATTTGAATGAATCAAACTTCTGAATGCAATTTAAGCACCCAGCTTCCATGGTCCTGCAGAAGGGAGCAAGAAAGCATCTTTAGTAGTAGCAAACTCAGGCTGAGCAGCTAATGGGACAAGCTTCTAGCAGCAGTTTTACTGAGTCAGCTGGGGATTTCATTTTTTACTGTGGGACAGCATTTGTTGAACAGGCCTGATGCAAGAAGCTACAGAAAGACTTATGACCTTGCTATTAGACAGTTATAATAAGAGCCTGTGTGAAACAATTCTTAGCAGACTCTGAACTCCTAGTGTCAAGTAGACCACAAGATTGATTTATGGAGGACAGAATCAACAGCCACACTGATGTTCATTTGGTATGAAGAGTTGCTTCTTTTTAATGCCATTAGGTAACATTACTTGGGATACTACAGTTTTATATAACAGTGTAACATCCATAAGTTTCTACATTTCCAGTTTGAGACAAATACTTAAATTCATAGCTTTTTTTGCATTACAGAAAGTGCAAGAGAGGTTTATATACAAGAGTAATTGCATGACTGGCTGAATTGGGTACTAAGGCTGTATTCAAGATGACTTTCTTAGCTCTCCAGTTCAGCAATTGCTTAGGCATTTGATTTAACAACACGATTTCAAGTTTATACTTCGCATTAACAGAAAAACCTCTGACACATCAGCCATCACCACTGGCCAAGAATGTAGCTGTTATAGTCAGTTATAACCAACTCATTTAGATATCTGTTAGTAAAGAGGTTCTTTAGAAAAGGCACAGTTTTCAAGAGACTGAGAACTACCTCACATTAATGGCACAGAGGTGGTGCATCTGTTCACAAGGAATCTAGGCATGGAGTGAAGCCATGATTGTCTTTTTGCTTTTTAAGATACTGGAAACACGCCACACTACACCACGTGACAACTCAAACTGAGCAACATCAGGGACATTCACTGAGATATATGAAAGAAGCCTATCTGCTTGTTCCATTTGTCTGCCAAGCCACCTTAATAAAAAAGTAATCCTAGTAGATTTCCCTCCCTGAAAAGTCATATTAGCACCAAGACAACAGTTAGTGTCCATGACTACCTCAATGTTCTGCAAGAAGTGTTTCAGCTGACCCTACAGGGTAGACCTCTAGTACTCAGGACTCCAGCAGTTCTGTTACAGGCCCCACAGTTAGTCCCTTTATTACACATTTATGGCAGAATGATACTTTTACCATTAGTTACATAGACAAGTATTGGAATTTTTTTCCCCTACCATACAGCTTACATCTTTGTGGCTCAGAGACCAAGTCATATGTCCAGTCACCAATTAGAACTGAGTAATGTCCACTTAACTTTACAACTGACTGCTGCTGTGATAACAGGCAACTGACCTAGTTGTTTAAGATGTGGAGTTTTAGCTACTAATTAAATTCCCTTATGTGAAGGCAACACTTCTTCCCCAGGTACATTCAGTTCCTATATTTTAGGATAGTAAGTGCTACAGAAAGGAATTGTGGTGACCATGTTCACAAGACGCATGACTTAGTGTGCTAAGCTCTTCTGTGGAAGACTGCAAAGAACTAAAGTAAAGTTAACATCCACCAACTTAAATTTGTGTCTCCAGCATAAGTCCAACTCTCCATTTGCTTTCCCCTGAATTATCATCTTCACAGTATGTTCTTTGAGGGTTCGCGTTTCAATCCACCTGGACATGTTTTAGATTACAGACATCATGGAACGGCAGCAAAAGTGGCAGACAGCAAAGTGAAACAAGTAGAAAAATCATGTTGAGAAGATGTCCAGTTATTCCATTTGTATTTTTCTGGTTATGCCTAGTATGATGAAAAGGACTTAGGGTTAGGATAGCTATAAGTTATAGTTTTATTGCTTAAACTAGCTTAGAGCCACTGAGAAAAAAACTAAAGCAATAAATAGCAACACTTTTCTGTTAGAAGCAAGACAGTATTTCAGGGGAAGACTTAGAGGTGTGGCAGAGGAATAGATTTGCTAGTTTAACAGTTCATGTTCTCTAGTCAATGGTACGGAAGTTTGAGTTACGTTAGTTTCTAGTGATAGAAGCTCTCAAAACAGCCCATATTCTGTTTTTACTCCAATTCACCCAGAGTACAAGCCCACAATTATTTAGGGGATTAAATGTCAAAAAGCTGTATGGGGCACTGTGTGCTAACACTCTCCTAAAGGGATATCTGAAGGAGTTTAGTCAGCCCCTCTGAGTTTTGCAGCACATATTTACTCACTAACTTTCCTCAAGGAAAGGACATCTAGATCTATTGTGGCCTTGAGACTCAAGTCCATGGAAGAATAAAATCTTTACTTCTAAGAAAATGAAACTGGCTAGGATTAGCCAGAATGCAGCTACATACAAGTCTGAGTAGAGGTACTCTAGCAGAAACGTTCTTCTAGGAACTGTTTGCTAGACTTCAGAGAAGCATTAGAGTAAAGCTAGTGTAGTTTTTAGCCAGCTCTTTACCAAAGGTTTTCAGAAACCATTTCAGAGAATGAAGTAGGTTGTCTTATTAGTGGAAGACCTACCTGATCTATGCAAATGGATTGCCAAAAGGATCACCAAAAGGATCAGAAGGTGGTTTCTGAGATTCCTTCTAAGGAAAGAGAGAACATAAGCTGTTAGTGGATTTCCAGGTTTCATGAGGTTTACTCTGCATGGCTGTTTCAGCTAGCTCCTGTTCCAAACACCTTCTGGAAAGAATACTGCAAAGGCCCTGTTGAATATGCATTAATTGTACTGCTTCAACAAGAGAAGAGGGCTCTAAAGCTGCGTTAGCAGTTATCCTAGTCTGAGGCAAGGTATCTTTCAAAAAAGCCATGTGTGCTTACTGAACACTCATTTGGAGCTGAGCCAGTGTACTCATGATGAGGTCTGCTTCAGCCAAATGGTAGCTGTCTTAAATCCGCATTCTGGAATTGATGCAGAGTTTCCACCAAGGGCTTCAAGTGCTGCGTCCCAAATGGAGTGATGTGGCTAAGGCATTTCCTCCCCCAGGGGGTACTGAACATGGGAGCCTCCCATTTGTTCAGCCGG